CGAATAAATCAAACCTGTGTGAGAAACGGGGGTTACGGTAGGCCACACCAGTGATCCATATCGGATTTCAGTAGGGGAAAAAACGAGTCAGTGAGCGAACAGTTGTTTTCGGATATTCCTAGTCATGTTGTTACATATCATATGGTGGGAAAGTGCTCACAGAATGACACTCATTGGCTCAATTAGAGGTAATTAATCGAAGTCGGAGGGAAGGGGATGTGTGTGCATGTGTGTGTGTGTGTGTATCGGAACGTTTACTATGTCAGGGCAATTGAAGCACGCTTGAACTAGTCGTTTTTTGGGCACACAGGTTTGGGCGAAGTTAGTGAATGACGATCGCCTCGGCCATGGTCATGGTCCAAACTCGGGCCGCTTTTGATCGACTGAGTGGGATGCGATAAACAACATGGAAAGATTTCTCCGGTTCGGTGTCTACCAGATGACCCATGATCGTCCGTCTTACCCTGACTTAACCATAGCAGGTGATGTTCCTTAACGCGTTGAGACAAACGCCTTACGATGTATGTAACACGCGCCACGGATGCACTTAAAGGAATGAATGATCATCCATGGATGAGGTCAGTTTCGGCAGTTTGTCTTTTACTCACATTCTCATCACCGGTGATGTGGATAACACCGCTCTAAGCTTTGCTTCAGGGGATGTGGAATTTATCACCATTCTCAATGACTGTACTAGACTTTTTTGTATGTGGGTCCCCATTAAAAGGAATGCTAATAAATAGTTCTTTCTTGGGGACAATGACGGGGCCTTCATTTTCCGGAAAGGGTCGAATATTCCTGTCAATAAGCTTTTCCGGATAACCATTGTCCTCTGGCGTTTGGCGGATGAAGTGTAGCTCTTCATCCAGTGTGTCTGCTGATCAAATCTTGAGAGGCTCTGAAAGCTAGGCATCGAACTAGATTGTATTTTTGCACGTTTACACAGTCAGTGTGGTCTGCTTCACAGGAAACAACCTGAGATGAGGGGTTGATTTTCCGGTCAAATGAGATAGTTAAATAGGCTGCCGAATGGTGGTTCCAAATAGCATCGATGTATAAAAGAATTTCGGATTCAAATCTACTGTTCAATTGTTTGGAATCGCAATGGCGAGGGAAGTGAGGGAGTCAACTTGGTCTTTTCGGACGAACAGCAGACCAGAATTTATCTAGCATCTTTTTGTATAAGACAAATCAGATTACCGGGGACACATCGTCATCTGGAATGATGAATAATTTGAAACCAACCGCGTATTTCCGATAAGTTTCAATCAAGGTTATCAATTGATTACAATCAAAAGATGTGTTCTTATAATGAAGATTTGCGATTTGTAGATAAAAACCGCTAAACCAATGCGGACCAGAATGCG